GCTGCTTGTGCACAGTCTTTGCAGCGTGCCTAATCCGATGCATCCGGCTCACTCGCAGGGCGCCCTTTTAGAGGAAAAAGCTTCCGTCGCTCCAACACGCTGCTGCTTGGATTTTGATATAATAAGATCCCCATATGCCCCAGATTTCATCTACTTAAGGGGGATTATAACAGTGAGATTCTGTGCACGTTCCTTTGCACCACCTGAGACCACTTACTCCTGAAGCGCGCTTGGGCCCAAAAGTAGTCCGACTTGTAAGTTTGGTAGCGGAGCTTCGGCTCTTCGTAGACCCAAACGCCATAGGCTGCTGAAGGCCCTGCCTTAGAGCTGCTCTCTCCGCGGCTCTACCCCTTCTTGAGATCACGATTGTCAGCACCACGATTTTTCTACGTTTCTTCGTTCAAGCCTGGTTGTGGAAGCCCAACAAGGACATCGCTCTGTCCCTCAACCAGAAAGAAAATTCGATCCAGGGCAAGATCTTTTCAAGAAACTTCTTCCCTGAAGACGGCCTCGACGGCCTTCCCAAGCACTACGAGCTTTCTGTGTTTCAAGCCTACACGCTTCAGGAGTTGATCAAGGTTGCGGACCAGAAGTACCACGTGCAGCTCGACTACCTCGACCAGCAGGTGCTCCTGCTCCGCGAGATCCAGTGTTACCTCAACGCGACCGGCTTCTCCCTCGTGAAGATGGCAGATGGCTCCGGTCCTGGAGGCGGAGGCGGTATCCCGCTTCACGAATTTCGTCGCGAGGTACCGCCCGGTTGGGCTCCAGGAATCCCCGACTACCCGCTGCGATTGTTCTTCGAACGATTGAAGCTTTGGTGTCGGATATATGAAGGAGATGACACCATGGTTGGTCCGTTGGTGGCTGGACGCCTGCAAGGCAAAGCACAGCGGCTGGGCATGCAGCTGCGGCTGCGCCGCCCGGACGGCGGCACGGACGTCGGCTCTGACGCTCTAGTCCGTCTTTCAGTCGAAGAAGTGCGAGATCCGGCCAACCCGGCACTGATTCTCCAACATGCGATACCGTCCGGGGTACAGGCTCTCTGCAATTCGTTGAGGGAAGCCTTTGGGATGTCGGATCAAGACCTGGTGTCGAAATCCATCGAAGATCTGATGGAATTCCGGCGAGGCAAGCTGACTTTCCCGGAGTACGCCATTGAGTGGGAGATTCCGCGCCGGCCTGGAGATCAATGACGTGGGGAAGTTTTACCTCTTCTTCCGCGGCGCCGGGCTTCCTCAGAAGTTCGTTGAGGATATCAAGCTTCAGCTTCAAGGAGACCTTCGGCGATTGGCTCTGCGCTTGGTGAATCGCAGCAACGACAGCGACCACTTCTACCAGGACGACGACGCCTGGGAAGAAGGTTACCTCCCAGAAGCTGAATGGGACGACGTGTACTGGGCAGAGGACGACTGGTCCTGGATGTCCGACTACCAGGAGATGTATGACGACTGGTACGGCGAGTACGAGGAGGACTATGAGCAAGGCCAGTGGTACGGCGAGGACGCAGAGGATGAGCAATGGCACAGTCCCGAGAAAGAAGGTGAGGAAGCCTCTGGAATGGACAGCGGTGGACCCGCGTCTTCCACGACAACCTTGGCAGCGCAAGAGAGCTTCGCCATGAAAGGAGGAAAAGGCAAGGGTTTTGGCTGCTCAATATGTGGCTCCCGCTGGCATTCGGCCTCGTCCTGTCCGGTGAATGGCAGTGGCAAGTCTGGAGGCAAGGGCAGGTCATCCAGCAAAGGCTATGGCAGCAAAGGCTATGGAGGCGGCAAAGGCTATGGCAACAAGAGCTTCGGTGGCAGTGGCTACAAGGGCAAGAAAGGCTATGGCAAATCCAAGTCCAAGGGCAAGCGATGGGCTCCCCGTGGCTGGTCTTCCAAAGGCAAAGGCTACTACGGCTTTGCAGAGAAAACCTTGACACAGAGCTTTGGTGAAAGCAAGCCACAGATCACTCCTCCAAAGAACAAGGTGAAGACCGTCCACTTCTGACTGGACAACGATGACGAGCCTGTCATTCACCTTGGGCGACATCGAGCTCAGGAAACTTCGGCTGAGGACGCCGAGGATCCATCGACCTCCTCCACGGCGGCCACGACTGCCAGAGTCTCTCAGCTACCACACGGTGCTGGGCGAGAAACGACGAGGTCTGCTGGTGGACCCTGGGGCAGCTTCAGGCCTCATTGGATCCGAGACGCTTCGAGATCTCATCTCATGCCTTCCTCCTGACCAACAAGGAGACATTTCTTGGAACTATGAGAAGTCCAACAATGTGTCTGGAATCAACGGCACTCCGGAGACCACGTTGGGCATGGTGAACCTTCCCTTGAGCTTCTCAGGAGCTCACGGGTCCTTCTCTGCGGATGTCCTCGGCGGTGAAGGCTCACTTTGTCCTGCTCTACTCTCGAATCCTGCTCTACGACGGCAACAGGCTTCAATCTTGACAGACTGGTTTAGCAACGGCGATGGCTGCCTGGTTGTTCGCTCCAGTAAGCTTCAAGAGAATGGACATCGGAAGAAAGATGTTGATGCAAGTGAATGGTGCTACCTTCGATTGCTTCTCACTGATAGTGGTCACTACCTGCTACCTGTGGATGACCCTCGGGAGCTCTCCAAGGAGACGGTCCTAGCCGGGAACGTGAGCGGTATCTACCTCAGGATGCTCCTTTGGCATCAACTTTGGAGGAAGCTGTGAAATTCTCGGAAGAGACTCCATGCACTACCATGGCAGCATCGACCACATCTCCAGACTCCGAACCAGAGACCCTCTGCGCTACCAGAACAGCATTGATCACCGAGCCAGAGACATCATGCGCTACCAGATCAGGGCATCTTCAGATAAGGCATCAAGCGACCAGTGGCAAGTCAGGCAAGCCCTTCCTGGACGATCAGAGCACCGCGCTATGCGACACCTGGACCATCGAGGGCAACCACCTGGTCCGACATCATCGGGTTCCGCGTCGCATTCTCTTCAGTCCAAAGTGTGCTCTCGACTGCCCTGTCTCCGAGGCAAGAGTGCTGGGCTCCAGGATCACCGAACTCAAGCCTGTGAGACAGAAGGGATCGGGTCGTATCCTGGAAGATGACTGGATCACATCCTCCAATCCCAACAGAGACCTTTCTTATCTGTGGACTGGTCGCACTCGCATTCGACTTTGCCCCGAAAGGCTGGAACCGGTTCCGACGACTATGGCATCGACTACTTCACTGCCGTCTGTGTCGATGGCACCAGAGCTCTTCCCGAACTACGATGGCGACTCTTTCCCAGATCATTGGGATGACGACCGCAAAGAGCAGTCCAAGAAGTACTACAAGGCGATTCCGGAGCAGTTCTACACCAAGACAGGTCGAAGGCCAATCACGCCCAAGAATGTGAAGTCTTGGATGGCGACTGCGAAGGGTCGCGGTCTGTGTTTCCAATTCTGGGAATGGTGTTCCGGCTCGGGAAGATTGAGTTTGCTTCTGCTGATGGCAAACTTCATCGTTGGCTTTCCAGTCGACTATCGATACGGCTGGGACCTTGCGCATCCTCCTCACCAACGTCTTCTACATGAATGTCTGACGGAGTTCAAGCCGGACATGCTCTTCGGTGCGCCTAGCTGTGGTCCCTGGTCAGTCGCTTCGGCCAACAAAGATCCTGTCAAGCGACTGGAAGATCGGAACCGTGAACTTCCAACTTTGGAGTTCCTTCACGACAACATGCTGTGGCAGCACGACCAAGGACGAGCTTTTACCACGGAACAGCCTTTCGTCTCGGACATGTTCAAGTCCAGTCCCATGGCTCGACTTCTGAACCACGAAGGAGTTCGTCTTCAACGCTTTGACCAATGCATGCTGGATGCACAAGATGAAACGGGGCGACCTGTGCGCAAGGCCACAGGTTTCTTGAGTAACCGCACTTGGAAGCACATCCGCAAGCGCTGTAATGGTCACAAGGGCCGTCCTCATGGTGTTCTCCAAGGACGATGGAATGGCTGTAATCGCGCAGCCTTGGCAGCCGTCTATCCTAAACGGTTCTGTCACGCCTTCGGCCAAGATCTTTGGACACTTCTGCGGGCCGACGGTGCTACGTCACGGAAGACATGGCCGCGATCTTTGTTCTGGTTGCGTGAGCGCTACTACTCCTGCCAGCGATGTCAACTTGGTCGTGGCTGCCCAGCTCACATCGAGCACACCTTTGTCCCTGGTGAATGTCGCGTGGGCCAGCCGGCCATTCGAGCCTCGCGGGAGACACCGCCAGCACAACCACCTGCGACATCTCCAGAACCACCCTCGCGATTGACTGTTGGTGATCTTGAGGATCCCACGGGTCCTTTCAAAATGTTGGCTCGCAGTGGCGACTACAGTATGATTGCCCTGTCGTTGGACGCCACAGTCAGTTTTGCGCCCGAGAAGCGGTTGTACCTCAAAGCAGCGTTGGTCCAGCTTATCCAGTCCTGCGTCGGTATCTTTTCTGAGGCCACTGGCGCTGACTATGATCACTGGCTCGACGACCCGGTTCTTCTTCGGATTTTTCAGGATATCTTTGCGCCTGACCTTCAGGTTCTGGGTGTGCTGTGTTCGCTGCGGCCATGGCGGCGAAAAGGTTCCTGATCCATATTTGTCCTCCTCCTGTGCACCGATTCGGCAGCTCATTCGCGGCAGCCTTAAATCTTGGCATGTGCAAGCGCCGGAGGACATGCGTCTCATGTCGCACTCTCAGCTGCATGCTGCCGTCGAAGAAGCTGACTGGCATGTTCATGTTTTTGGCTATGAGTCTGCTGATGCGCGGGTGGACCGCGCCGGCGGCCGTTCCGCCGCAGCCTCGTCTCCGGTCGAAAAACAAAATGATGGGCAGGTGGCTCCTTCCTCGTCTGCGGCTCCTGTTCCCTTAACCTCGTCTTCATCGCGAACCAAGCCGAGTGCTTCTTCGATGGAGAGACCTCCGGCACCACCAGCGGCGGCGCCGGCGTCAGAAGACGACATACGTCCCTGGAACGAAGATGGAGCCATGGAAGAGGAACCAGATCAGGCCGAGGAAGAAGAATTCAAAGCAGTTCGACCGGATGAAGAAGAGAAAGTGCTCAAGCCCCTGTTCGACTTCAAGAAGGTCTACAAGAGGCTGCAGAGCGACATTGTGTCGAAGGATCCTCAGATGGCAAAGCGGCTGTTGCTGGGTTTGCGTGAGCACTACCACTGCCCGATTGGCGATTTCAAAAATATGTTGCTACGTGCTGGACTCTCCTCTGACATCCTTCCCTTGGCTGAAGAAGCGGTTATGAACTGCAGCATCTGCCGGAAGTATGTCCGCATGCCTAATCGTCCCCAGGTCAAGATCGGATCTCATGCTGGATCTTTCAATCAGCGAGTTCAGCTGTGGACTTGTTTCAGTACCAAGAAGTCTGGATCCTTCTCATGGTGGACGAGGCAACGCGATACAAGGTGGCCACCGACGTCGAGAGCCGCGAGTACGGCCACCTGCTCTCCAAGATGCTGGACTCATGGTTCGTTGTGTTCGGCCCTCCTCACCAACTTGTGCTTGATCAAGCGTCCAGTCTCATGAGCCATGCTGCAGGTCGAGAATTGGAGAGGTTTTCGATAGAGCGAGTGCCGAAGGGCACAACCTCCGGCGCCGCAGGCAAGCAACATACCGGGGCAGGATTCGTAGAAAGGCACATTGAATTGGTGGAAATCACAATGCTCAAGTTGGCTGCCGAGCTCGACCGTCAGGGGCTTCGTCTGACGCCAGGTGAGCTGGCCAAGGAGTCCGTGATGTCGCACAACCAGAGCCTAAACTATAATGGGGCCACGCCATCCATGGCTGTCTTCGGAATCCTTCCTCGCCCGTTCTATCAGGAGGACAGCAACAACATCACGGCGGTGGCTGGGGTTCTTCAAACTGACATCACCCCGTTCAAGAAGGCTCTTCGAATAAGACAGCTTTGGCTTTCCATGGTTCAGCGTGCGGTGGCCGAAGACAGGATCGCACGAGCCGGGCGCACCAGGCCACATCAGCTGGACACCAACACCCTAGTTCCGGGCACCTCCGCGATCGACTTCTACCGAGAGGTTCAAGGCGATGTTGGCTGGCGCGGACCTGCGACCTTGCTTTGACTAGACACGGACGAGGGTACGGCGATCCTCACGTATCAAGGACGACCCTACCTGGTGAGCGGCGCATCAGGCCACATACACCGGGAGTGTTCCTGGTCATGGACGGCGAGCAAACCTCCGACTTCCAGTGGCTGCAGGCCATGGTGGTGAAGCTTTCTCCTCATAAGGCTGTGACCATTGGATGGGTTCCTGAGATATCCAACCACTGCACTTCCTGGCGCCGGGCCTCCTCGAGTTCTCTCTCCTACTCCGACGCATGGGTGAAGATTGTGTCACTTGGAAAGGCCCTGTCGAACCACAACGTTGGTGGCGCCATGCTGGGCCAAGGTGTACGAGTGATCCATCCTCCGAAAGGATCATCTGGAGTCCTTCTGTTCTGGAGACAAGGACAAGAAGGATACGGTAGCCAAGAGCACAACGACGACACCCCCTTGGCCATGAAGAAAGTCACTGCCCATGACATTGACCAGCTTGCCTTCATCTACGTCTTCTACTATGTCAACGTGGCGTATGAGCCGGCCTCTAAGATGAAGGTGATACCGTCCGAAGGAGCGCTGGATGAGGCACAGCCCATGGAGGTAGACTCATCCGCAAGACCTTGCAAGACCTTCCTCTCCGATCCGCAGCTCAGCGGACGACTCCATGGATGTGGACATCGAGGCTGCCGCTCCTTCTTCCTCGAGTCTGGGAGAGAAACGCAAGGGACCTGAGACTCGGATGGTCACTTTGGTCCAGAGGCCAAGAAGAGCAAGCTGGAGAACCTGGTGGAGTACCTTTTCTCAGAGAAGGTGGTCAACCGTACTCAGCACAACCTCATCAACCTCTACTGGCTCATGCGCCGCCCAGAAGGTTCCTCTGGAGTCCCCTTCGAGCTGGCAAGCTCCTGACAATCGCTTTGCCATGGCTCAATGGGACATCTACATGAGCCGAGTCTTTGAGAAGTCCAAGAAGGAGTTCGTGACTCACAACCATCTGTTCGTCTGGCCAGGCAAGCGCCAGGAGACAGTGTTCGCGGACCTCCTGTACGGGGAATTGTACAAGACGGATGACGATGTAGACAACATCGCTGAGGATGAAGTGTACGGCGTGTGGCCTCTGGTGGAGGAATCCGATGCGTCTGAGATAAAGCAATTTGTGGACACGGGCAGCTTCCAGAAAATGCACATCAACTCCTTGACCGAGGAGATTGTTCTGATAGACTCGGTGTGGATTAGGAAGTGGAAGCGCATGCCAGACGGCAGCCGGCGGGTGAAGAGCCGCCTGTGTGCCCGTGGCTGCTTTGACAGCCAAAAGGAATTGCTGTCGACGCGCTCGACGACAGCAACCAGACTTTCTCAGCGCATGCTCCTCAGCACCGCGGCAAATTCCTCATGGGAGATCGAATCGTGGGACGTGAGTGGGGCCTTCCTAAAAGGCCTGTCCTTCGACAAGGTTCGCGAGATCCTCCAGTCCAAGGGCATCACTACTCCAGTCCGTCGTGTTGCAGTGATGGCTCCAGCGAACGTGTGGAGGCACCTTGGCAACTTCAGCCCATCCTTCCGCGTCGACCTCTCCAAGACCCACGAGTACGTTCTTTTCTGTCTGAAGCCGATCTATGGGCTGAATGATGCTCCCCTGGCCTGGCAACTTTGTCTCCATGGTCATTTGGAGGAACAAGGCGGGCGTGCTAGTCTCCTGGATGAGAACCTGTTCTACTGGAAGGAGGGAAGTAAACTCAAGGCCATCGTGACTACCCATGTCGACGATTGCGGCGCCGGAGCCAAACATGAGTGGCTGACTCAGCAGCACAAGCTACTGATGGAGAAGTTTGGCAAGGTTACTCGGCAAACTCTTCCCTTCGTTCATTGCGGTGTTCAGTATTCCAAGATACCGGATGGCTTCCGCATGACCCAGGATGATTTCTGCAAGAAGCTCAAGCCGGCGATGATTCCTGCTAGCCGCAAGGATCAGGAAGTTCAGGAAGACCTCACCCCTGCCGAGGTGACGTCGTTCCGCTCGATGCTCGGAGCACTGCTTTGGTTAACCGCCACGCGGTTAGATTTAGTAGCAGATGTGTGTCTGCTGCAAACGCAAGTGACTCGTGCAAAGGTTGCACATCTGAGGCAGGCTAATAATACCATCAAGCGTGCTCAATCAGTGGAACCCAATCTGGGTTTGATCTTCAGGAAACTCCGCGGCCCCCTTCGAGTGATGTGCATCCATGACAGCTCAGCGGCTGGGAATATCCGCCATTATGCGCAAGAAGGCATTCTTGTCGTCCTGGCCGAGGACAAGCTCCAGAACCTCACGGAGTACGAACACGGCTCATGGGGCCAAAGCGAAGCGGGTTTCCTATTCAACCAGCCACGCTGAAACATTGGCGGCTATCTCAGGCCTCGAAGCGGCCTCCTTGCTGACCGTGAGATTGGCCGAGCTGTTGTACGTTCCGAAGCCCAGCATCCACTCTCTTCTTGCAGTTCAGGAACGCGGTGTACGGCAGCTGCCCATCGACGACCTGGGTGACTGTCGCGACCTTTACGAACTGAACTGGTTTCCGGGGACCGCGGCATCACACAGGATAAAGGACAGCGGTTGTATGTCCTTGCCTTGAGAGAAGCTCGTATGGCACAACGCCTGCGCTGGATTGGCTTGGTTCCAACCGCATCGATGACTGCGGATGCTCTCACAAAGAGCATGGTGGCTCCGCCGATGATGCAGCTTCTGTCTTCCGGGACGGTTTCGTTCTTCAATGAGGAGAAGCATGCAATCACCTTGCGCACTTTGCCATTCATGGCCCAGGTAGAAGAGCACCACCTCGACCTCACAGACAAGGAGCTGATTCGTGAAGTTGGCACCCTGACTACGGCCTTGTGGTGTGCCTCACGGTCCTCCTCATCACGAGCTACCTGTTTCTTCTTCCTGGCGACCTTGGCGGCTACGACATCCACGGCGGCGGCTACTACCAGCACGACCTCGACGTCTACGAGTGCTACGGCCTCTACTCCTTCAGCGGCTTCCGAGGCGGACGACAACCGGTCCCTGTTGACGTTCGTGGCACTGGTGCTTTCAACTGAATGGCTCCTCTGGGGTTTTGCTCGTTACTGGTGGCAACGAATGTGCTCACGCCGAGCGACATCTCCTGCCGGAGAAGACCCCGGGTCCGAGGATCAGTCACCAATGGACGTCGATGCCTCGAACCTAAACTACGATGACACCGCTGACGATCGTCCGGATGCTGCCGATGCCTATGTCCAGGCAGATGTGCCACCTCTGACTTCGTTGGCCCAGCACGACGCAGTCTCCTTCAGGCATGTGGATGACAGCGCCATGCTCGTTTCCAACTGGGCACTGGAACACATCCGAGCTCTTGAGGACAAGGTCAGGGAGCTGACAGAGAGTGAGCGGGCCGTCTACGATGAAGTCCGTGTTCTGAGGGGCATGCATGACAATCATATCGAGACAATAGGGCGCCTCAATCGTGATCTGTTGCGATTTCAAGGCATGGACCCGAATGGGTTGGACCTCTATGCCACTACCTCTACTGGTAGGACCTGGCATAAGGACAGAAACTGTCCTCACCTCCGTAATGCACGGGCGAGACAGATGAGATGCTGCCAAGACTGCAGCAGGTGATCTTTTGCACTAATCAGTGCAGCCAAGAACGTGAGCGGAGTGAGATTCTGTGCACGTTCCTTTGCACCACCTGAGACCACTTACTCCTCAAGCGCGCTTGGGCCCAAAAGTAGTCCGACTTGTAAGTATAACCCTAAACCCTAAACCCTAAACCCGAAATAGTAGTTCCATTTTCTTTTCCCTTATGCCATTTCATGTACTTAAGGGGGATTATAACCCTAGCCACATCTTTGGTACCTGCGCCACTTCAGGAGCTCAATGAATTTTCCGTTACCTTCACAGATCACACCTGGCTCCTGCCAGCGTGCCTTTCGAGCAGTTTAGGGTTTTGGGTTTAGGGTTTGGGTTAAGGGTTTAGGGTTTGGGGTCTAGGAAATCTTGTGTTATGGAGAGTATGGGCCCAAAATAGGAACCCTAGGGGCACAGAAGGAATGGCAAAGAGATCGTGGGAGTCGTTATGAAATATGAGGCTTGTTGTTTTCCACCCTTAGTTTGGTCTTTGTAGTTGCCGTCCATATTATCAGCATTTTCTGTACCAGTATCAGTTTCATTGTAATACGTATTATTGCGACTATTGCTACTATCATGTTTATTGTATGTAGTACTGTGGCGGCTATAGTTGGTAGTCTCCTTAAATAGGGGGACGCCAATATAGACCCCAAATACTACAGTCCTTATTAGTTATATGGACCCCCAGAAAAGTACCCGCAATTTTGGGAAAGCCTAAGCCAGAAACCCTAAACCCCCAACCCCTAACCTGTGAAGTTCTTGTTCTTATTGTCAATGCCCAGGAATGGCAGATTAGCCTTGGCTGCAGAAGAGGCGGTGTTGTGGACAGTTGACCAGTTGGCAGATTGTGAAATTGGTGGCCCCTTACTGGGAACCCCAAGGTATTTTGTTTTAGGGTGTAGGGTTTAGGGTTTAGGACTTAGGATTTAGAGAGTAGGGCTTGGGGTTTAGGGCTTTAAGATGGGGACCCAGGAAGGGACCATGAGTTTGACAACCTACCACAGACATGCACAGACAAAGCATGGCATGCAGGGAGCCATCTTCATTGTTTCCAGCGGCCTTGGCATTGAGGTCTCTCCGTGCATGGGGAGACCCCAAAACCCTAAAGCAATAGTTTTGGGGGGGTTCCCAAAATTACTGGTACCTCCATAATAAGGAATATAGTATATTGGGGGCTCCTGCAAGCTGCTGATCTTTTTTTAATAGGGGTTATATGCGGGATATTAGTAGGGATAATGAACAAGAAAATGGAAACTACTGTAACTACATAGGTTTAAAATTGGGTTATAGTTTTCAGAACTCGAAGACCCAGTCCAAAACAGTGTGTGTCAGGATGCAGACAACCGCGCCCAGCATCTGGATGTTGACCCGGTGCCATTAGATGCAAGCAGCTCGCCCTTTTGGCCCAAATATCAGTCACATTGTTTTTTGCAGGTGCCTTACTTCATTTGCCGCATTGCTCTTCCGTTTGGACACGCCGTGAATGAGCAGCACGTCTTCGGCATCAGGCTTTGTCCCAACATTGAAGCATGTTTCTGGCCCTTCACTGCCTGGAATCGAAAGGCCATTCACCAACGGCTTCGTCATAGCTGGGGCAAGCAGTCAAGTCGCCGTGTGGCAGCACCAGCAGGATCATGAGGCTGCCAGCAGCCGTGAATCTCCGTCAGAGAGTATGTTCTGTTTCGCTTGGAGGTTGATGGCAATGCCGTGGACGCCTTCGCAATTCCGAAGTATGAGCATGCAACAGCCTCAGCTTCCTGAGACACCAGTGCAGTTCCTTCGCCTTTTGTGTTCTAGGTAGTGACAGCCCAAGTTATAATCAGGTAGCATCCTATGGCCCTGCAGAAGTCGCATTGGAAGTAGCGCTGATGTTTCGTAATATGCCTACCTGGCCCGTGTTTGCAGGTATGCACTGCCACGGTCGATGTTGGAAAGGGTTCAGCTGTTGCTTCTTTGGACCTCGTTGGCGGTCGAGACGAGGCCTCTCGGGGCAAGTGCTGCCCTGAACAAAACAAGTTCATACTGCATGGTGGTCGTTTTCCGACATGAGGGGCCCCAACATAGACTCCAATATACCCTACTCCTTATTATCGGGGACCCCCAATAAGATACCAGTAATTTTGGGAAACCCCCAAAGGATTGTTTTTCCAGAACATACATATAATAAGGTGTGTATACGTATACACATCATATTGTACAGGTCCCGGAAACCCTTAATGATAAGGATTCAGGGTTTAGGGTTCAGGGTTAAGGGTTTAGGGTTCAGGGTTTAGGTCTTAGGGTCCCTAAATCATAAGGCAGTTTCCATTTTCTTTTCCCTTAGTACTATTTAGATACCTACTATATTCACTCCCCCATTTAAACACTACACCCAAACCCTAAACCCTACGTTCTACGTTGAGCATTGTTGCTGCGGTCCAGGTGCATGTGGCGCTCTGCTTCGAGAGCTCTGACATTACACACTTCCGCACCTAGGTCGCTTTTGGAAAGACGTTGGCAAATTTGGATGGGATCATACACTCTTCCGCTATAGGAATGAATGGTTTGATCCTCTAGCTCCGGGTGTAGTAGAAGTTCCCTGCTACATGAACACAACTCATGACTTCTTGCACAGTCTGCACTTGCAACGTTTCTAGGTCTGGGAGCCCTCACAGATGCCGATGGCCGCCTGGCACAGTGCTGAGAGTGTTGCGGCTCGCGTTCTTTGCATATGGGTAGTTGTCAAAATTA